AAAGCTCACCGGAAGCACTTTTTCATCAAAACAAGATGGCGGCGCCCAGCTGATGCCGGTACCGGGCCGCGGCATAAAAAAGGTTGGGGACCACTGCTCTAGAGAGTTCTTTATCCCCCTGAACGCATATTTCAGCCAAAGGCCCTCCAACAACCAGTAGAGGCTCCACCCTGCAGGTAGCCACTCTCAGACTCCAAAACACAGCCTCTGTGGTACAAAAGAAAGCCCATCAAATGGGAGCCTGCTCACAGGGCAAAGTCCAGGTTTTAACCCACCAGGCAGAGTCCAGGTACGAGGCAAGGGCAGTCAGGACAAGAAGCAGGTCTCAGAAAAGAAGCCGTTCCAAAACCCTAGTGAGGCAGGGGCCAAATGCAGGCCACAAGAGAAGGCCTAGGCGGAGGCCATGACAGACACGGGCCTGCATAGACACCTGCCCTTCTCTCTCCCTTGCAGTGCAGTGGTGGCTGTGGGCCAGGCCGAATGATCCGGCAGGTCTACTGCAAGAGCATCGATGGGCGCGTGGTGCCGGAGTCCCAGTGCAACCCTGAAGCCAAGCCCCTTGCCATCCATCCCTGTGGGGAGAAGAACTGCCCCGCTGGCTGGCTCGCCCAGGACTGGGAACGGGTAAGGAGTCCCCGGGAGGGTTCTGCGGGCTTGCGGCTGCCCAGGCTGGCTCTGGATCCTCCCTCCCTTCTTCTGGCAGTGCAACGCCACCTGCGGCCGAGGGTTGAAGAAGCGGACCGTGCTCTGCCTGGAGATTGTCAGCGGGAAGATCAAAACGCGCCCCCCTGCCACCTGCGATGCCACCAAGAAGGAGGCTGAGGAAGCCACATGCTTTGAGCGCCCCTGCTTCAAGTGGTACACCACCCCTTGGTCTGAGGTGAGGGCCAGGGGGCTTCTGGTCCTGGCGATAGGAGGATTGTGAATCTACCTGGGGCACACAGCTCGTGTCACAGGCTTCATGTGAGGGAAGAATGTCCCCAGCAACCTGGAGGTGGTGGCTCTTTGGCGGAAGGAGGGCTAGCCTGGCTTGTGATCATTCAATTGGTGGGACACAAAGCCCAAATAGGAGCTTCCAGGAAATGTGGGCTGTGGTGACCTGCCGTGGCTGAACCAGCCAACTGGATCCTAGTCCTTCCCCCAGTCCCACCCCAGGGAACCGTCCTCTCCAGGGTCCCGTGCAGGGCAGAGTTAAGCGGGGGGATTTTTAGCAGCCATGGGAATTTAAGAACCGGGAAAGTTCACAACGGACCACCCCAATTAAGGCCCTTCATGTTCCAAGACGAATGTACCACTGGCCGGCTCCCTGCCCGGAACCTGATGTTCTCTCCCTGCTCAACAGATCCGTCGTCTCTGGGGCTTTCAAGAAAGCAAAGCCGGTTCCAATTATGCCTAATGCTCCAGACCGCGAGAGGCTCGCATTGGCCTCAGCAGCCACGGCGGCTCGCTTGGTCACCAGTCGGAGCTCCCGCAGGTCTCGCCAGGCTGCCCAGAGCTGGTGGGGTTTCTTGGTAGCGGAGATGCCCCCTGGCATGTCCCTCTTCTGTGGAGCCTCCTCTGCCGCAGATGCTCCTGCAAAAGCGGAGCAGGTCTTGCTATAAATAGGTGGGGCAAAGGAGCAAATAGTCCCTCTTGGCACTTACAACCGTCACCCCACCCCACCCCACTGCCAGTCTACAACATAGAGGAGGAAGCTGGGGTGCTGTGTCAAGAACACTGAGAGCAGCAAGCAAAATGTTTAGATTCCCAACCCATAAAATAAATGAAACTCCTGAGAAATGAAATGTGGAGGTGGAACTCCCCTCCCCCAGCTGGTGTGGATGGGCTTGGGGGGGGGCAGGTAGGGGGTGGAATTGCCTCCTGGGCTTCCTGCATTAGGATACTGTGCCAATTTGAAAGCAGCAACAGCTCATCAACTGCAGCCAAGAACTCAGGAGAGGGGATGTTGGCTCAACTTCAGTGTATTTAAAACAGCTGCAAAACTATAGTTTCTTCCCTCTCCTCCTCCTCCTCCCCCTCTTCCTCTTCTTCCTCCCCCCTCCCCCTCTTCCTCCTCCTCCTCACCTTGGTCTGCTGGCTTTTCTGAAGGACTGGAGGTCCTTTTGAATGGTTCTGGTTGTCTTAAGTTGCCAAAAAGAGCTTTTGATCCTACTTCCCAGTGCACAAAAACCTGCGGAATTGGCGTGCGGATGCGTGATGTGAAGTGTTATCAAGGGAAGGATCTTGTTCGCGGGTGTGACGCACTCCTGAAACCAGTTGCGAAGCAGACCTGTGACCTCCATCCTTGTCCAACAGAGCCACCAGGTTAGCTGGGATACCTGGCAGATGGGGTGGGTGGGATAGCTTAAGGGCCCCGAGTGAGCCATGCCCGGCAGTGTTGGAGCTCCAGCACTACGAGGCCCCGTTTCTGTCTCTGCCCTGGTCCTCTGGTCACACCATAACCTTCCGGATGAACTTTCCAGAAGAGGACTTCCCTTGCCCCCCTCCAAGAAGGATTTCCTGGGAGTGTGCGGTGGAGGGAGGTTTCGGGAGGGGGCTGTGCCACGTCACCCCGAGGGGGCAGCAGCTCAAAGGAAGCAGACTCAGCTGGGAGCCAAAAGAGCCAAATGTCCACCTCAGCCGGTGGAAGAAGCGGGAACGCCCAGCTCCTCCATGGAACTTGGAATTCTTTGGGCAACTTCGATAAGAGGGTGGCCTGTGAGCTTTTCTTTTTCAGGAAGAAAGCACCTCTTCCCCTCAAGGAATGTTGTTTTAATGGAAATATTTTATTTGCGCCATTTGGTCAGACCCAGCATGGGTGCAGATCAAAGGTTCAGGAAAGCCCCCCCCCCCGTTCTTTGCCCCGCCCCACCCCCAAAGGCCACGTTCAAAAGAGAACAGTGGGGCTGGTTCTGTGCTGGTGACCCAGAGCTGGAAGTGGGGGGGGGGGGGAAACCCACCTCCCTTGCTGAGGCATCATTGCTGCTGCTGGTGGTGCTGCACTTGGGCAGAGAAGGTGGAGGCTGAGCTCTCCCTCTTGCCTCAGATGGCCCCCCTGACCTTGTGGCCCTCCCACAGACGACAGCTGCCAGGACCAGGCGGGGACCAACTGTGCCCTGGCGATTAAGGTGAACCTCTGCGGCCACTGGTACTACAGCAAGGCCTGCTGCCGGTCCTGCCGAGTGCCCCGTTCCTAGAGGGGAGCCACGGCCTCCGTGTCCGAGGAGAAGCAACCAGAGCTTAGCGCCATCCGGCATCCCCTTCTCACCTCTTTTCCTCCAGCCATGATGGGGACTCCACTTGACCACCAACATCGCCTGCAGAATTCTGGATTTTTCTTTTAATTCACTTAGCAAAGTTTTGATCTACCTATACGTGACTCTCTACCTGCAAGTGATTTTGTGCGTGTCTGTCTAGCTGCTCCTTCCTGTCTGCCTCCTCCGCATCCATTGACATCTTGCCAGACTGGCTTGGCTTTCCTTGTAATGGTACGTTGCCTGTTGCAGGACTGGGGCCTAGTCAGAATGCCCCCCCCACCTTCCCTTCCACCTCTCTGCCTTAAGAGTCTGTCTCATGGTTCCCTCGAGGCAGGGGTGGGGCTTTAAGTAAGAAACACCCCAAATAAAAGAGATGCTGAACCCTTCTCTCCAGTCCTGCAGTTAATAATTGCCCCATGTATTGTAATGAAGGATATTTCAGGACTCACATCCATTTTGGTGGGAATTGGTGGGAATGACGTTTGCATCAGCTTTAGATAACGAAAATGGCAATAAAGTCACTAAAGGCAGAAGAACCCTGCCCATTTCAGGCGTAGGCACTTTGTCTTTATTCACACTCAGTAGTAAATATAAGTTAACAAAGGGCAGATAGTAAAGTCCACTAAATATAAGGTGTAAGTGCACATCTGGCAAAAATATTTTATCTCGTAATCAAACTCTTAAATACATAATGCCAGCATATTGTATAGGATAAGGAAAACATAGTTGCACTTTATAACTCAAAGGGGCCTTGGACTCTTTTTTTAATGTATTTGTTTACAAAACAATAAACTTTATTCCTTTTACTGTTGAATGGCACTTGAAGGTGTACTTTAAATAAGGTTTCTGATATTTATGGTGACAGCTCTGTACACTTTTTATTTGTTTTGGCAAATGGAAACTATTGTACCATCTCTGATTATATTAGACAGCAGAGTATCAGCAGTAGAGTCCTTCAAGCTTTTGGTTCTATAATCTCCCAGGACTTGAAATGGACACCTAACATTAGAACCATCATTAAAAAGACACCACAAAGAATGTTCCTCCTGCGTCAACTCAGGAAGTTCAGGCTGCCCCAGGAGCTGCTGATCCAGTTCTACAGAGGAATGGTTGAGTCTCACTTGTGCTTCTAAAACTGTCTGGTTTGATACAGCAACCAAACAGGACAGGGAAAGACTCCACAGAGGAAGGCAGGAAAAAAAAATGCAGGCTGTCTCCTGCAATTTGGGATTCAAATTTTTTTGCTACCAGTTCTGTGGGCGTGGCTTGGTGGGCGTGGCAGGGGAAGGATACTGCAAAATCCCCCTTCCCTCCCCATCCCACTAACCTGCTTTCCAGCTCCGTTCTCCTGTGCAGGGCAACCAAAGAAGACCCAGCCAATCAGCTGGGACTCAATGGGAGGCAGAAAATAGATGGGGTTGGCAGGGCCAGTCAGAGTTCTCTGAACTCTGGTTCTCTGAACGACTCAAACTTTCCGCTACCGGTTCTCCAGAACTGGTCCGAACCGGCTGAATACCACCCCTGCTGCCTCCCATAGAATCCTGGTGTCAGGAAGGGGGCTGAGAAAATATCGACAGACCCCTCACATTCTGAACATAAACCGCCTTGGGATGGCGCTATAGGGTGTTTCATGCCAAAACAACTAGACACAAGGACAGTTTTTTCCTCTCATGATATCACTCTGCTGAACACCTAATTCTCAGTGCTGTCTAATGTCTATGTCAGTGATGGCTAACCTTTTCAGCTTGGTATGTCGAAAATCGGGAAAAAGTGTAGCCTTCCTCGGGTCATGTGTCACTTCAAGAAATATCAATAATTTGGTTTATGATGGACTGGGCTGGGGTGATCACACAGGGCTGTGAAACTCGTCTCCCTGGTCTCAGGGCTGCAGGTGCAGGATGTGGGGATCGGAAGGCCACCTTACAGGGCTGTGAACCTCATGGATCTCCTTTCCTCCTGTAGCGTTCCTGAGGTAATGAAACTGACAAACCTCAGTTTATGGCGGTTAAAACTGGTTCTCTTCTGCAAAGATCTCGCGGCAGCAGTGACACCACGCCTCCACGCAACAAGCAGGGAGCAGGGATTGGAGCAGAGCACAGGCAGCCTCTAAATGTGCAGGTTTTCCCCACACCAACAGGCGTGTCAGTCAAAGTGCCTCGGCGTGTCACAAGTGACACGCGTGTCATAGGTTAGCCATCACTGGTCTATGTCTATTTACCCATGTAGTAGGGCTGTATTTTTTTATTATTACTCTTCATTGCACAGTCAGCCATCTGGGCTGGGTTTGGCATTTTTGTCTACCTATTGAGTCCTTACCGCTTGAGATAGGCAAATCTGGATGTTTGATGGTGTTACAGAGATCGCCACAGGATGGAAGCTGTTCCAAGTCAAGCTGCCTTCTGCAATTGACTGATGGCAAATTTGTCAATGCCTGTGGTGTTCAAGTGCTGCTCCAGTTGTTTTGGGACTGCACCCAAGGCATCTATTACTATTGGCACCACCCTTGCTTGCCTTTGCCATAGTCGTTCTATTTCTATTTGTAAGTCTTTGTACTTTGTTATCTCCTCCAGTTCTTTCTCTTCTCTTCTGCTGTCTCCAGGCACTGCCATGTCCACTATCCAGACTTTTTTGTCTTTCTTATTGACAACTGTTAAGTCTGGGGTGTTATGTGGAAGGTGCCTGTCTGTCTGGATTCTGAAGTCCCAGAGCAATTTAACTTTTTCATTTTCTATAACTTCTTCTATGTATTTTATGGTCCCACCAGTTCTTGCTTACAGGCAACTGATATTTCTTGCAGATCTTCCAATGCACCATTGTTGCTACTTTGTCATGCTGCTGCTTGTAGTCAGTTTGTGCAATCTTCTTGCAGCAGCTTACCAAGGTTTCTTCAGCTTCTTTGCATAGGTGGCTGTTATGTCCCACCTTCTAAAATAAACAGTTAAGGCTGAAAGCAGCAGTCCTTGTAAAGAAAGGCAGCAAACAGGAAAATGTTATGTCCCACCTTTTAAAGTAAACAGATAAGGCTGAAAGCAACAGTCCCTGTAAAGAAAGGCAGCAAACAGGAATTTTCACAGATAGCTCCAATAAGTAAAAGTTCCAACGAACTAAATCCAAGACTCAACAAGATTCTTCAGATCAAAATCCTTCACAAAATAATTCCAATAAGTAGAAGTTCCAACGAATTAAATCCAAATCCCAACAAGATATTTCAGATCAAAATCCTCCAAACTGTGCTCTTCAGTTCTCCTTGCAAATAGACACTTTGTTCCGGACAAAGTGCAAAGTCATATCTCTCCCTTTATAGAGTAACTAATTAGTCTAATTGCTGGTCTGCTCTCCTACTGTAACCTCGTTGGTTCCTCCTTGTCAGGAGACGTCTTGTCCTGACATCTACCCAGCAATCATCCAAATTATCATCTTCTTCACCTGAAGATATCATTGGTTCCTCATTATCACCCGTTCCCGGCTGACCACCTAATTGAAGGGTGGAGGAGTTTGAAGGTTCAAGCCGATCTTGCAAATCAAATGCATTCATCTCCTCCTCATCGTTAGAACTTGCTGATTCATATAAGTCCTCCTCGCTGGAGCTGTCATTCAAAAAACCTGTAGCAGATGCCGGAATCACAACACTATCCCTCACCGCAGGGCCCTTCCCCCGGGTCTGGCGATCCGGATGCGGTTTCGAAGGGAAGCGTGCATGAAAGTCTCGAAGCAGATCCGAAGCATGAAGTGTAGACGCATCCGTCCAGGAACAAACCTCCGAGTCATCTACCCTCCTCCTGACCAAATACTGGAAGCGACCTTTGAGCCAACGGGAATCAAGGACGTCGACCACCGTATCGTCAACAGCAGGCTCCTCAGAAGGCAATGATAACGGACCCGGTTCAGCAGAATCACGTAATCGACAAACAGAAGAATCAGGAATCAAAAGAGATCGATGAAAGACGGGGTGAATACGCATGGATCGTGGCAAAGTGAGGCGGTATGCCACGGGATTAATAACTGCCTCAATCGGGAACGGACCAATAAACCGATGATCAAGTTTTCTAATAGGGCGATCGACCTTCAGATGTTTTGTAGATAGCCACACTTTATCACCCACAACTAACGGAGGTGTATCTCGACGGGACCGATCTGCAAACCGCTTATAATCTTCTTTTGCCTTGTTCAATTGTTGTATCAGTAGACGGCGAACTGCGTGTAGTTCTTCCAAAAACTCTCGGGTCTCAGGAACCGGGGAATCCATCATAGTTAATGGGAAGAAACGCGGATGATAACCCATATTTGCAAAAAATGGCGTGACACGGGTGGAGGTATGCTGCGAGTTGTTAAACGCGAATTCTGCTAACGGGAGGTATTTCACCCAATCGTTTTGTCGCAAATTAACAAAACATCTCAAATATTGAGTAAGAATCCCAATCACCTTCTCCGTCCCGCCATCAGTTTCCGGATGGTGCGCTGACGCTAAACATACTTTCACTTGCAAAGCCGCCATTAACTGTTTCCAAAATTCTGCCGTAAACTGGACCCCACGATCAGAAACCACTCTATCAGGCAGTCCATGTAGACGGAAGATATGTTGCAAAAATAACTGAGCCGTAGTGCGGGACGATGGTAATTTCCGACAGGGAATGAAATGGGCCATTTTAGTCAACATATCCACTACCACAAGCACTGTTGTGAACCCCGATGAAGACGGTAAATGTGTCAGAAAGTCCATAGAGATCGCTCCCCATGGTCTACTTGGAGTCGGCAAGGGTTGCAAAAGTCCAGGAGGTGCACCGGATGCTGCTTTCGCTTGCCTACATTGAACGCAAGAAGCGACGTAAGAAGACACATCATGACGAACTCGAGGCCACCAAAAAGTCCGAGTGACCAAATGCAAGGTCTTGTGTAATCCAAAATGACCAGCGGCTGGGTTATCATGACATTGTGTCATGATGAGAGCCCTCAACGGTCTGGTAGGCACATATAATAAACCCCGATATCGAAGCAGATCGTCTTCAAAAGACCATGGAGAAGTTGGGCCAATGTCCTCCCGTCTCTGCTGCGTCCACGCATCCAAACGTTGCGCCTCTCGTAGTTGGGCCCGTAAATCTACCGGTTCCTGCAGTACGGCTAGAGATTCCGGTGGTAACACTGTCCGTAAAGGAAGAGGATCTTCGGCACAAGTATACTCCGGTTTCCGAGATAATGCATCCGCCCTCCGGTTCTGACCACTTGGAACGTAAGTAACTGAGAAATTAAATCTGGCAAAAAATAACGACCAACGAATCTGCCTTTGATTCAATTTCCTAGCCGTGGTCAAATGTTCCAGGTTCCTATGATCTGTCCGAACCTCCACCTTGTGTCGAGCTCCCTCCAAATGATGTCTCCAAGTCTCAAAAGCAACCTTAATAGCTAACAACTCTTTTTCCCAAATGGTATAGTTGCGTTCCGAAGCTGTAAGCTTCCTAGAATAATAAGCGCAAGGAAACAAAAGAGCGCCATCCTCCGAAGCTTGTAACAGCACTGCTCCGATAGCGACATTAGAAGCATCTGTCTCGACCACAAATGGGCGATCCGGATCAGGATGCTTCAATATGGGTTCAGTTATAAATGCTTTTTTCAAAGTGTCAAAAGCCTGTTGTTGTGGAGGCCCCCACACAAATGGAACCTTCTTACAAAGAAGCTGGGTTATGGGATCCATTATCTTCGCAAAACCTGGAATGAAAGTCCGATAATAGTTGGCAAATCCTAAAAGTCGTTGCACATCTTTAACCCGACAAGGAGCTTCCCAACTACACAACGCCTCAACCTTTTTGGGGTCCATAGCAATGCCCACAGGAGAAATAATGTGTCCCAAGAATTCGATAGACGACTGAAAAAAGAAACATTTTTCTAATTTAGCATAAAGTTTATGTTCCCGAAGACGCTGAAGCACTTGACGCACCTGCTGAAGATGTTGCTCTTTAGATTTTGAATAAATCAAAATGTCGTCCAAATATATGACAACAAACTTATCCAACATGTCTTGAAAGATATCGTTCATTAAATGTTGAAATACAGCAGGAGCATTGGTCAAACCAAATGGCATAACGGTGTACTCGAAATGACCATAACGAGTGCCAAAAGCCGTCTTCCACTCGTCTCCCTTACGCATCCGAACCAAATTGTAAGCTCCACGTAAGTCAAGTTTCATGAAAATTGTAGCTTCCCGTAACCGCTCCAACAATTCGGAGATGAGCGGTAAAGGATAGCTATTTCTCACAGTGATAGCATTTAAGCGTCTATAGTCACAACAAAGACGAAGTTCTCCCGACTTCTTCTTGACAAAGAGAACGGGTGCTGAAAGAGGGGATGACGAAGGTCGAATAAATCCACGAGCTAGATTTTTATTCAAAAATTCTCGAAGTGCAACTAGTTCAGGCTCAGACAAAGAATACAACCTCCCCTTTGGTAATGGAGCGTCCGGTATCAAATCCACGGGACAGTCGTAAACACGATGTGGTGGTAATTGATCTGCCTCCTGTTCACTGAAAACATCGGGGAAATCCGACAGCTCTGAAGGAATCGAGGCAGCAGAAGCGACAATATGTTGGCCTGCGCAGACATGTCTCAGGTGGTCCACACATTGCAGGCTTGGAAAAGAAACAGCGTTCTGCGCCCAAGCCACCAACGGATCGTGTAGACGCAGCCAGGATACTCCGAGCACCAAAGGAAGATGGAGGTTCGAAGTGATATAAAAACTTATCGCCTCCTCGTGATCCCCAATACGCATACGCAGTGGTTGGGTGGCAAAGCGAATAGTTCCCGACTTGAGTTCGCGCCCATCTACGGTTTCCACCTGCATGGGGGGATTCACAGGCACTAAAGGAACTTTGAAATGTTTTACAAAATCATAATCCATAAAGCTAGTCGTAGCCCCTGAAATCCACCAGTGCCACGGCAGGGATTCCCTCCTTCCAAGATTGCAAGAATATGCGAGTGTCCAAAAGTAAATGTCGAGGAGGGCCAGAATTAACTTCAGCAATTTGAGATGAAAGTGAATACTGTGCCCGACCTAGGGTTTCCCTGAGGTCGGGCCTACCCCGTTTCCCGACGGACCAGCAATGGGTTTTGATACAGGTCCACGAGTCCCCTTCCGAGTGCAGGAATTTGCAAAATGTCCCGAACCCCCGCAATAAAGGCACAAACCTTCCTGAAATCTTCTCGATCGTTCCTGAACTGTTAAACGAGGGCGGAGTGCGCCTATCTCCATCGGCTCCTCTGCTGGAATTCTGGATTGGAAAACCCTCATAGATGGGGTGCGTGAACGAGGAAACACAGGTGGCTCTGCAACGGTCCGTTTACACCCACGATGTTGTAGGCGAGCTTCAATACGTAAGCATTGAGTAATCAATGTGTCCAAAGTTGAAGCACGCTCTGCATGAATTAGTTCATCCTTGATAATGTCGGACAAACCCTCTTGGAATGCTGCCATGTGAGCTGGTTCATTCCAGGTGGAGTCCATACACAACAAGCGAAATTCTGCAACGTATTCTTGCAATGAGTGTTTACCTTGAATAATATCCCTCAATTTTCTGTCCACAGTTTGAGATTTAATTGGATTCTCAAACATAACGTTCATCTGTTGAATAAACCCCTGGAAATCGTCCAGTAATGGACTATCTTGTAAGGGAGTAGCCCATTTGGCAGCCTGCCCGGTTAACAAACTAATAATAAAGCCAATTTTAACTCGATCGGTTGGAAAATCCTCCGGCCTCACAGAAAAATACAATTGGCACTGACCCAAAAATGTTGAAAACATGTCCGTTTGCCCAGAAAATTTATCTGGCATAGCTATCGGAATTTTTCTCACAGGGGGTGCAGGGGGAACTCCAGCTGCAGCTGAAACAGTTTGAGAATTGGCAACGAACGATAATAATTGTGTTACCTGATTTTGAAGGGATACGTTGCTCTGAAGTAATTGATTTATTTGCATCTGTTGCTGCTCCACCAATTGTTGCATTTGAGTTGAATCCATCGTTGCAAAGATGGTCTGTTGGGTCCGGAACAAAAATGTTATGTCCCACCTTCTAAAATAAACAGTTAAGGCTGAAAGCAGCAGTCCTTGTAAAGAAAGGCAGCAAACAGGAAAATGTTATGTCCCACCTTTTAAAGTAAACAGATAAGGCTGAAAGCCTTGTCAGGAGACGTCTTGTCCTGACATCTACCCAGCAATCATCCAAATTATCATCTTCTTCACCTGAAGATATCATTGGTTCCTCATTATCACCCGTTCCCAGCTGACCACCTAATTGAAGGGTGGAGGAGTTTGAAGGTTCAAGCCGATCTTGCAAATCAAATGCATTCATCTCCTCCTCATCGTTAGAACTTGCTGATTCATATAAGTCCTCCTCGCTGGAGCTGTCATTCAAAAAACCTGTAGCAGATGCCGGAATCACAACAGGTGGCACTTACTGTCTGTATCTGTCTTCAATTCTGTCTCCTCCTCCTCCTCCTCCTCCTCCTCCTCCTCCTCATTATTAT